TCAGTACCGACAAAGTTAGAAAAACGACTGTGGCTAACAGAATATAAGTTTTTGCGGGGCTAGCATAAAGCTCACAAAACACCTAACTTACTTTTATTTAGACCTGGTATAGGCAGTGGGTATAATAAGTTTATTCATACTATAGAGGACCCAAAATCAACTCTAGGCATAGATGTGTGGATGCAGCAGCGAGAGGCAATTTTAGGTTGCATTAGCTCAGTGCGGCGTACTTACGAATCATCTATCTTTTTCAGAAGATATTTTTCGATATTGTCTATCAGGAGAACAGTCTTTGCTAATCATTTGTTTTGAAGAGGGCACAGCATTTGAGCGAAGCCCTAAATCAACGACTACTCATTGCTGAGTAACAAGAAAGTATACAGTTCGAAAAATACCCAACGAAAGTCAAGGTTACAGTTGAAGAATCATCTATGTCAACTAAAAGCTTATCATTTTCTGACTTGCTCCACCTGGAAGAATATCCTTTTCCACACCTATACATTTTATCTTACGTTTCATCGAAATTAAATCCCAAGGAGTTGAAGGTTGCGAAATATGCCATTTTGTAAAAATGAAAATGCTCACAAGTAGGCATAACCGACCCTTAGGGCAGACGAGGGAAACTTAAGAGGCCTTTCTCATCTTACCCTTATACTGCATCTAGAAGCACTGTATTTTATTTTGAGAATCGGCTTACACTTTTTGCAATTTGCAACTTTCAAATTTGCACCGTATTCGAGCAAAATACAGAGTGTTCTTTTTAGTAGCCTTATATAGTACTGCGTATATTTGCACTATATAAATTAAATTATGATTAGATAACCAGATAAGGGCTATCCGTTCTCCACTACGTATGCGCCACTGATGATTTGCTATAGCAAGTAGTATCAATTTCGTTCTAAACGCGGAAAGCTAGCTTGTTGCTAGTTTGTGGTGAAATACCAGGGTGTTACAAACGAATCCGGTGAACTCTGAAATGCGATAATTTTTGAACTAGTTAAACCGGAAAGATAATATTTTAATATATGCTAGATGTATTCTCTTTCACTTTCTACACATTTGTTTCAGTAGCACTCTAGCAGTTTCTGAACAGCCATATACCCACCATTCGCGTGCCCATATTTAATTTCCCCATCTATGGCTCCTCAAAGTAAATCGATAGTGACATATGCTTGCCTACCGCTCATCCCTTTTCAAGACATAAAAAGGCCTCGTAATCACACGTAGCGTTGTATTTTCTTCTTTGCTCAATCCAAAAGATAATTAAGACGTGCCGATGAGGTTTGTCGTTGTCGTTGTCGTCAAGTAAGGGGATTGCGTGCCTTCAATTATCATGCCAACAATTCATGAGTCACTGAAGAAACTCGAGACATGAACTGCATTCATCGCTTCATTTTCGGCAAGTATCTCATGGTAGCAAATACTTCGGATATCTATTGCAAATACTACAGTCACCTTAGGTCTGAATGTCACCAAACGATATGTTTCTCCAGGATTCTATTCTTTTGTCTGATCCGTTTTAGATTAGCGGTAAGGATTGAATCATGCCTCGTCCATGCGGACCCTATTTTACAGGAAGGTTTTTAATTCATTAAACTATCGCAAATTGGATACACCACAGGCACTTCCAAATGGTCTAGAGTCAATTTCCAGGGATCTATTCTTTACCCAGTTTCCGCATTTTCAGTAGGTGGGTTATAATTCTGTAACACGTTATATGTGGGGTATCAGCTTTGGCTGACATAGCTTTTAGACTCTGAGCTCTGCTTTTGTAAAAAGGGTTGGCGGATATGCGTTCTCGTCTTTCGGGTCCTCACATCGAGGGTCGTCTCTCCGATGGCCGTAAACACTCTGATTTCTGAAATATTTACACCATTCAGGCGCTACCCTTTCGCTTAAGGCTTCCTCGCCCAATGTGTGTATCCCTCTTCGGTGAATTTCCGCAGCGCTACGGCCTTCGAAGAATAAAAACTGAAAGAAAAATAAAGACTAAAAGGTGCTTTTTACTTTTGAACTTTTTTTTTTGCAGTAAATTCGATTGGTTTTCGCTTTTTCAGCTCACTAACTAGCTTTGCGATTCTACTGAGAAGTTGTTCAAAAGAACGAAGACTAAAAATGCATGCTGAACATTATAAAAAACTTAGCTTAATAGTTTCTTTTTTTGTTTTATATATAAATCGACATGCAGGAAAAACAGCATCGGATCGGTCGGAATATCGGAAACAGTCTCATTTGACAGGTACAAAAAGCTAAGGAAGATAGCAGAAAATTTTCAGATGTGTATGTTTGCAATACTGTGTATATGCTGTAGGACAAATTGTTTATTATTAAGCTGTTATAGAAAATCCGACGGGCTTTGAAATTGATTCACTTTTAAATTATATGCCTCTAACAGACGAAACTTGGCTAATAAACACACTACTTTTTTAGAAACTTGTGAGCGAAAATCGTTTGAGTTGGTTTCAAAACATATCATTTTACCGAAAATTAACGCCCAATTGTCAAATTTTTGTTCCTCAAAGGTCATAGCGCATCGAAAATTGATCAAAAATTGGCGAAGACTTTAAGCATAAACACAGCATGTGAATGTTGCACACGCTTGCAAGACTGAAGTGTTAAAAATCACCAAGAATATGACCAGATGTCGGGGTTCGGATAAGAACATGTCACTATCGAGGAGATTTTTCCCGAAAGCAGAGCTTGTAGTCCGAGAGCTGTGTCGGCTAACACAAGACGATACAGAATTATAGTGCAAATATTGCATCTGAGTGGCAAATGTGTCCTACATGAATTGATCCCACGTTAGTTGGAAATGTCTTCACCGCCCCATTTGCGAAACTTTAATCAACAGAAAACACGCGTGGACCGCACGGTTGCGACATAGGTTAGTCCCCGTTACTATACCGAGATGAACCAGGCGAGAGAATAGCAGCCTGAAGAGAAATCAAGTGCGATGACAGTCACGAAACGGACACCAGGGTGAGCTGAGATACTTGCTGAAAATAGGACAATACACACAGGCTGCTATCTGAATTCTTCAAGAGACTTATGGATTGTCGGCGTGGCAATCTGAAGCACGCGTTCAAGTATTTGGTAACAACGTCAGACCTCATCACCATGCCTTAATTACATTTTAAGTTGAGCAAAGGTGTATACAATGTTGGCCCAACCCGTTCACTTTTTCCATTCAAGTCCATGTGAGTTAGAGGTTTTTCGTGCCCCAAGAAAGGTAACTAGTGGGCAAGTACATCCACTATAGATTAATACCTAAAAGCCATAGAGGAGCTATATATGGAAAGACGATTAATGGGTATGTGGCTATGCGGAAACTGCCAGAGGACTGAGTTAAATAGCCACAAGATGAAGTAAAACTATATCACCCCATCTAGCCCAAGTTATTGAATTTCAAGTCCTTCGAATCTGCTTGTAACAGCTGAATAAGTAATTTCCTTCTATCGACTCATTGTTGATCATTGTTTCATTTATGCCATGATGCAGACTGTATCGTTTAATTTGTTTATAGAATGGAGGAAATTCCGGGTATTGGTTTGGCTGTTTGTAGCTTAAAGGCTTAAACGACTTCCTGTCATAACAGAAACTTCGTATTTTTATACAACAAATTTATGTCAGGTTGGACAGCAGTATATAATCCTTGGATAAACATTGAGTCGACTTTAAAGGTCATGATTCGCTCGGTTAGGTAGGTGCCTTATAGAAAAATATCTACGAAATATTTACTAATTTAACCTATTGTTTAAAAAGATAAGGACAATTGTACCTATATATTCTTGCGGTACGCCAATGTCTCTATTCATCTATACCATACTTCTGGCATAGTGGATGCTTCAGGTGTCGCTGAAGTCAGTAAATTCGATCTGCTCGGTAAACAAATCGATAGTATTTAAATTCGGCTGTGCACATCTTTCCATAATTGAAATTTTTGTATTTGAAATATTCTGCTACGCTATATCTAATAGTGCTTGTCGATATTTACTACATGAGAAAAAAAGAAAATGCTACAGTGCTTGTTCTTCCTGTAATCTTCTTCAATTATATAAGCTTAGCGGTTAGCTTCAATTATATAACGTTACGTATTGTGCTGAAATAAATAATAATCAGAAATCATTACCAACAAATAAGCCACAAGCTTGTACTTTATTGTACTTGCACAACATGTACTTTATTGAATTTTACTCCTAATAGTCACTGCTTTTCACATAAAATGATTAGGCCATATTTAATTTATTATTAATTTGACTGGCAATATATGTTCCCGTATTGAAGAAAGATAGCTTTCACTATAGGCATTTGAAACATCTTAACCTCCCGGCAACTAAATTTAAAAACGAAGCTTTTGTCATTTTTACAACTAAGCATTTCACGACAGAACATATACAGTCAGCTCCATACTCTACAAGTAATTTACATTGAAGTGCCAATAAGAAAAGCGACCCTATCGAAATTTTATTGCTTATTTATTTACCTGCCCGTTTTTTTCTCGCTACATAACTCATCTCATTCAGATACTTTATCGGTGTCAACTTGGTTAAAAAGCTTGTCCTACCCAGCTGCAATAAAAGCACAACGATAACCACATGGTTCTTCTAAGCACCGGCTCCACTAAAACAAAGCAGCATTGTGAAGCGCCATTAATTTTGACTAAGGTAAGCATGGGCTAACCAAGTAATTTCCAAGCTGTACGTTTTGTCCTTCAGTTAGCTGGGTTTCCCCCATTTTCCATTCCTCACGTTGCGACGCGTTCATTCGTTTTTCCCTAACGTTATCTACCATCGCGGACCCACTGCCATCGACGAGACAAGCCCCCGATTTTCCCGGAATCCGTCTGGCTGCTTTGCCTGGCCCTACAAATCGGTTCGATGCCTGTCAGACAATGTACAGCACATTCTTGCGCAATTGCTGATGTACTCACGCACCATTGGGCACGAGGGCTTTACTCCTCCCCCCTCATCTTCTTACTCGTTTCCTCTCTTTCATTGCAGGCAGTGGCAGCAAGAACGGCGACGAAACAGTTTACCACGACACCCATGTAACTGCCCATACGCTAGTACCATCCTGCCCCCGGCAGTCCGCATGAACACCCAGCGCGTCCCTCCATCCTTCGAGTTAGTCCATACATGAAGCGACCAACCGCAGTTTTTCTCACTTTGTTTCATCCAACAGCCAACATACTTCTTTGCCTTCATCTCGTCCTTCTGCTGCTTCGTTTTATGCCGAACGACCAATAAAACCTTGTTCCTTTTTATTCGCACATTTAGCACACCCTAATATAGGTTTACTGCGTGTCTATGTGCGTACTTTGTCCACGCTGCCCGATGCTGTACCCCATGCTGCGTGTGTATGGCACCCAATCATCAATATATCGCCATCGGTCTGAAATCGTTACGCAACTGGCGAATAGAAGAAATGGACGACAACGTATGTATCACACTTCTGGAGCTCAAATACAAAGAGCGGAATTTTGGTTTGCTTATCCTCCTTTTTTCACCAGTTCGATATAACGACAATTTACAACTTGCCGTAGAGGGCCGTTGATTAGTCGTATACTTTTGAAATAGTAACTCGTATCATTTTATCTTTTCTATTTTTTTTCAACCGCAATAGCAAAGGATAGCTGATTAGCGATCCGTTCGGAATCATTTCAGTAGTACAAAGTTGACCATAGCCCCCCCTTTGTTGTCAATTCGTATTGTTTCAGTGTTGCGTTCGTCGCATAAGTTTACAATCAACTTTCCTGGGACTCAAAATCACTTTTTCTTAGATACTAGAAGCCAAACTCTATGGTTATCGTAATGATGAGATGGCTTTAGCTGTTTACCTATATTGCCTTATTTGATACGTGTCTTTGTGTCCAAAATTCTAGACGATTCCATTGTATGAGTGTCTTCAGAATGATGCTAGCTAGGTTAAGTCTTGATATCTTTCAACTAATAGCCGTATATTTCACTCTATATAGTGAAAAATATAGCTAATACTGTAAATTACATAGCGAGATCGTTCGTTCAAAAGTGATAGGTTGTATTAGGCGCGGCTACATAACTAGATCATAAATAGCGTCGAAAGCCCGCGAAAATTTCAAAAAAATGGTGGCGCCAAAGAATTTAAAAAACATACAACACTAGTTCCTCTATTGTATCGTGTCGATGTCGCTAATTGTTTGAATTATATTCGTAAGCGTACGCAGTGCTGATAGTTATTAAGTTCGCCATAATTCAAAAACAATGTTTAGTCATAATTCGTAGCTTTGCGATACGTTTGTTCTTAGAGTAGTCACAAGCAATTTTAATGTTTATAATTCGTACTGATGCTTAAAAAGCATACCAGATGTCGATTTAAGTAGATGCGAATTTTTTTATGGATTTGAAACGCTTTTCTATTAGTTGTTCAACTTACTTGCCATTTCAACTTTGAAATTGCTCGGGAGCCTACTGGAAGGTTGTTTTTGCTAATAAGTTTATTGAAACTAATAGCGCAGAATTTCAAGCAATGGCTAAGTGATGCCGCAGCAATATGAGGATGTTAACTGTATCTGGAATACTTATGGAGAGTCGCTGATCGGCCTTTCGGTTTGGAACTTGCTACAAATTTGGTAGTTAAAACGCGTTATTATCTTAATATTGTAAAACTCCAGTAATAAATTGTGCATTTATTTATATTGAGCTAGTGTAAAAACATGCACATCGAAGTCTGGCATCTATTTTATTTCAGACATACATATTTTCTACCAAATTAGACACTAAATACTCATCAAGGACTATACCGTACGTTTTCCCTTCGTGCCATTTACGTAATATGTTAAATAGATGTAGATTTTTATATAAGTGATATAATGCCGAAGCAATATCAACGTACAAAAATTATGCTTCAATGGGTCGATATTCGGATATGATAATATACACCTACAATAGGTCTGGGTGTGATGCTCTTGGACGTGCTGGATCGACAGGCGCCTATATATATGTGTGTATGTATGACAGTCATGCATGGGTAGTTTATTGTTCGGATTTAAGCTTACCGAGCTTGCGCTTCAGATGACGAGGCAATGAAGGGAATGCTTGCGACGCGATTATATCCGGAGGTAGCGACATGCGTCTAGGGGAAGAGAGGAGAGCGGCTAGAGAACTGCCGGGCTGATTTATGAGGCGAGGCACAACTAGCGCTTTGAAAAATTGGACCCAAAGGGAGGAACGGCAGCTGCCGATAGAATATTCAAACGAGTGCTTGCTGACGATACCGAGATATCATCTCTCGACTCGCCGCGGTCGGGACCTGCCCAGATTATAGAGATCGTTGTGTTCGTTCATCTCAAGTTCAGCGCCATTGAGATGCTGTCCATAATCGGAGAAACAGCTACCCAGTGAATGTAACACTACAGCGTTTGAGGAGTTTGCCTCCTGGAGCTTGACGATCGAGTTCTTGATCCATGCGCTCGCCACCGAGCTGGCTAGTGACTCCCCAATAGTTCCTCTGTGTATATCATAGATACATAAAATCTATATTTATGTATTAGGATGTTACAAGTGAATCCGGTGGACTTTGAAATAGAATAAATTTCGAATTATATGGGGTAGAATTTTGATTTTTTTATATGTGGTGAGGTACTCTTCTTCACTTTTCATACTTTTTTTTTTCTCAGGGCTCTGCCAGCTTTAGAGAGCCATGCATCTACGACTTGCTTTTCCATATATAATTTTTCTACATATGGCTCCGGAAAGTGATTCGATAGTGAGGCATGTTTGCTTACCAGTACCCTATTCAGGAAACGGAAAGCCCCGTAGCCATACGGGCTTAAGTCGAAAGAGTAAACGCGTTAGGGCCAATGTTGGATATTCCCTTGCACAACCCAAGAAGTAACTGAGGCACAGCAATGAGATCTGGTGCTGTCATTAGGCAACTAGATTGTGGAATTTCAATTGCCGTGCCAACGGTATGTAAGTTTCTTGAGAAACTTGCAGGAACTTGTGAGGCTGCACTCGTTATTTAATTTTCGGCAGCTATCGCATAGTAACAAATGTTCCTAAGTCCATTGGGAGTACTAATAGCACCTTACACTCAAACTTACCCAACACTGCCATCGAACTCGATTTCTCTTTAGAGCGACGCCATTCTTTTGTTGGACCCTTCTCCGACAGGCAGTAGAGCTCTAACCATGCCTCGCCTATGGCGACTGTATGCTCTAGGCGGGTCTCTTGTTGATTCAAAATTCGCAAATTGCCTTACCTAGAGTCAATTCATGGAGACTAATTTTTTATTCAGTTTTCGGATCCTCAGTATTCGGATTATAATTTTGACACGTTAAATACGAAATATCAGAACTGACTGACAAGCTCTTTCGGATCTGGTCATACCCTCGCTGCTCCTCAACACTAAGCTCCATTTTTTATATTCACAATTGTCTCCACCAATATCCGCTGAATATCTGTAGCGCGGAAACTTTCGAGCAGCGGGTGTTGATTGTTGAGACTAAAAGATACTTTTCATCTGAAACCATTTCTCCTCGAAGAAAACTCGTCCGGTTTTCATCCTTAGTTTTCGGTAGATTGGAATATTTGGCAACTGAATTTGTTCCGCTAACGGGGCGCGTAGTTAAAAAATAATTCAATTCAAAGTTAGTCGGATCCGCTCGCAACAGCCCAATGTGTTGTTACTCAAGCAATAAACAAGTGTACGCGTAGGGAATATTATATTCTTGAGACTATAAAAATAAGTGCAGAAATATAAGTGATTATGAGCTGCCCAGGGAAACCTTAAAGTTACATTCTTTGCACTGCATTAGCGAGACGGTCGAAAGATTGATATTGCTACAGGAACATATAGGAGGGCATACTATGGATTGATTTGATTTTGGTTTGCTACTATATCTCATACAACTGATTGAGTGTACAATATAGATATTTTTATATTCGATTATTTGTCTTTAAGGTAGTATTTTGTTTGTGTGAATTTTTTAATACATTTCATAGCAATAACATTAGGCCAACGTGGATAACTGATTTGCAAATAACCAGGTTTGACCAAGTCTTAAGCTGAGAGCACGGGCTAAATATAGAGCACTTGAACTAATTATAGCCGTCTCATGCCGTATATATGCTCAGCAATAACGAGAAAGCAATATTGAACGTATTCCTTCGTTTAACAGGCAGATAAAAATTGAATTAATAAAGTATAACAACAGCTTAGCCTCGTTAGTTAGAAGGGTTTGCAGATATTTGCGTCTTAAGCATTTTTCTAATAAAACTAACCGTAAACAATACAGTGTTAAAACATTGTCCTTATATTCGGAAGTTGTAGTAACAAACGTATCTACTTAGCTTTCACAACGATAAGACCGATTTTAAATCGACTGAACTTCAGTGAAGATCATACCACGCTTGCAAAAACTACGTCGCTGTTATGATATGGATAGTCCCTTCAGTTTGACAAAGATCTGCAGCACATCGTACTCAGGTTGTACTTGGATTGCTCGAGGGCTATAGATATTGGTTCAGTAGTGCTTGTGGTAATATCGTTGCCATCCTGTTCTTTGTACACCTACGCGCGCGCAGTATGATGTGCCCGTGTCGCTTTTCTATATGCGGTCACTTTTGTAAATACAAGTAGTTCCGTTTGACGTCCCCTTCTTTAGGGCATTCGTCGACGTTACACGATCATAATACTTGAAAACTTACTAGAGTAGGTCGAAACACATAGACGACCACTGGCATCTCTGGTAGACGGCCGCTGGAAGGAAGTTGGATGTCAACTGGACGTTTGGACCGTTCACTCGATTGTCGTCGTCGCCGTTGTCATCCACCTCTTGAAAATGCTCTTTTTCGGTGTGAAGACATTCTTGGGCTAGCGACGCCGATGGACAACATAAAATGCAGCCTTCGACAAATTCTTCTTCTCTAATACTCTTTCATTTCTGCTCGTGTTTTTCGCTACTCTAGCAGCACCGTAGCTTAACCAATCCAGTGTTCCTTTGGAAACCTAGAGCTACAGATGTTCCTGTTATTGTTGTTGCTGATATTGTCGCTACTAATGCTTGTCATGGCGGCACAGGAGCGCTAGAGCCGTTTTCTAATATGGCAGGTGAGGAGCGGTGCATTTTTGTCAAGTGCAACACCCCTTGCTTCCCATCCATACATATACATATCAGGCCGACCGTAACGGGCGCTTACGCTTCTTCATGAAGATCCGGAGGAGAGTTAAAGAAAAGCGGCAGGAGCAGGAGTGAGCGCAACGGCGGGTCTTAAGCTACGGCAAAGAAGTGTCATTTTTTCTGTGTTTTCTTCAACAGCCTCCAGGAAAAGAAGACATCGCGAATGTGTGTTCGCGGAATGGGAAAAGGGGCAAAAAGAGTCGGCTTAGGGTGTTTTTAGAGGTAGGCCCAAACGGAACGAGGAGAGGAAGGTCGAAGATAGCAAGAAGCGCGATTACTTAGTCCTATCGGAGCGGCACGGAAGAGAATTCTGCTCCGAGTGCTCTGTTGGCTACTGTATAGGTTCCTTGGCTCGTTGACCGGCTCAGAACCGCCCCGCTTTTTGAGCTTCTATACGATGACGACGGTATTGGGAACGGCATTTTTAGACGGGAAGAGCCATGTCAGAGGTAGTAGCAGCAGCCTTCAACGATCTTTGGCACCCGCGTGCTACTGTGACTCCTGTTACTATTACTTCTATTACTATAAGTACTACTATAGTTACAAGTACTAGTACTGTTTTTATCCTGTTGCCCTTATCCAGTATTATTTTGGTCTAACTGTTGTTATCGTTTGCTTTTCCATCGGGTTTCTCTGTTGTTTTTCCCACTCATATTACTCAATGAAATTCCCCGTCTGGCTGCTTCTTCTAAATAACGTTGATCCGTCGATATACAACTACTACACACGGATTTTCTCCAGACCTTTAGTTTTTTTTGGAGATATCCACATAGGCGCTAAAGTAAATGTCAGTGGATGCTTGTTAAACAACGATGTCAAGGAAGGCAAGGACAGTAGACATTGAAAATGTAGGTTGAGAGCTTTATTGTATGAGCGCTTTCATTAAAATCAAGGTGTACACTTGCTGCACATCTGAATGTTGTTCCATTGGCACAATTTACAAAACGAATACTAGTAATAATAATAATTATTACTACTGCTACTGTGACAGTGACAAATGGATGTGAAGTAGCCCATGAAGGATTTAGCAATGGGAAAAGTCAAGTGCTTGTTTGCATGATTCCTACAGGAATAGGAAAAATTTCGCGTGTACAAAGTCATCGTCAGATTTAAAACAGGAAGTCAGTGATTACTTAAGAAATTCTTAGTCCCCTTCTAGCTAAATGGATTTCCTTACTCTGCAGACTTTTTTTTTTCGCTTGGATGTTAAATGAAACGATGCAGATGTGTCCCTTATGACGTGTAATATCAGGCTAAGATTAAGCTACAACGATTCTAAATAATTGTCATCATGTGAACGTATATCGTCGGTCGCGTCACGTCATGTTTAGGTAAAAATTTGCTGAGCGTCATTTGTTCCTATGAGTTGCTTAGCAAGGGGCACTGTAGGATGCTGTAAGCTTATTGCCCTACTAGGATCACATGCATCAACCTACACACTTACAGATCTATGAACATCAAAATAAGCGCTGTAGCCAGGTCTCAGTGATCTTGCCCCATGACTGGGCGCGATAAGGAATGACGAGCTTTTTTAAAGCACCGCAAAGCAACTAAATAGACTCATCTTTATTCTTGTCAACAAGCCATTGCGTAAAGCCTCCTAAGACGAAGGCAAGAGACTAATTTAGAGCCACACAGTGAAGCATCTCCTAGATATCAACGTTCAGCAGATACTGAAAGACCACTTGGATGCCAACACTGCATCAGGATTTCTGTACATGATCATATGGAATAGAAAAGAGAAAAATAATACGCGCGGATTTTGGTCATTGATGGCAAGCTCTGTTGTTTACTTTGGCATTGCCATCCCTTTAAATAGAGCAATTGTGTGTAACTAAGAAGCTAATTAATTTTCAAATTCCGATATTTGCTCAAAGCAAAAACTCAGAAAGAGTATACCAGCAAAATGGAAGTACTTCGAAGGTGCAGTAATTCAATTCGAAAATAGGTTATTGCTTACACACAGTTATTGATTTGCTTCTGTACTCCTGCGGTCGAGATAAAAGTACGCCACGGTGTCGCCTGACATCGAAACGCGATTTTTATTGCAGCACCAGGAAAAAGAAGGGAGCACTTCATTTCGCATTTGCTCCATTACCGAGCAACGGCTTCTCCTACCCTCTTTTTACGTTTAAACTCAGCGACAGACAGCCCTGCCAATATACGCATTCTATATCCGAACGTGCGACTACAGCTACAGGCAGACGTACATACGCACAAAGAAAGATAGCGCTACGAAAACAAACAAGCGAAAATTACACAAGTACTCAACACTACGAGACAACGCATGCTGCCAGCATTTATGTGATCAACGACTGACTTGCTTTCATAAAAATAGAGTGGTTTCTCAATTACTGGCTATTTCCCGATAGACGTCA